TGAAGGCACCAGAGCAGACGGATTTAGCTACGGTGTCAGCAAGCTCATTCCCGTGAATACCAACGTGGCCAGGGATCCAGAAAAACTGGATGGAAACAGAAGATAGAGAAAAGTGGGCCAATTGGTGTTGAATGTCGACAAGAACAGGGTGAGAACTAATGTTAAGTGATTCCAGAGCCAGTAGAGAGCTAAGAGAATCAGTGTAAATAGTACAATTACTGTACTGCATAGCTTCTACATGATCCAGGGCAAGAGAAATAGCATACAATTCGGCGGTGAACACAGAAACTGTAGAGGGGATCCTGTGAGCAACTACCAAGCCACAGCACACCATGGCAGAACCTACCAAGTCACCCGATTTCGAACCATCCGTGTAAATAGGAAGAGAAGAATGGTTCGAAAGATGCTCAGCTAAATAAAGATGGTACTTCCAATCGGGAGTATCTGCCTTCCTCAGATGACTCAGAGAAAGGTCACAGGAAGGGATGGTAATAAGTCAAGGTGGAATGGTCTGATCATTGGGGACAGCAATGCCAGACCCAATTCAGCCAGTTGCACCTGGATACGAAGGCCAAAGGAAGGAATAGCAGGCCGTCTGTTCCAAAAGAGCATGGCACATCGTGGGAGAAAGACACAATCCCAGGTGAGATGCCGTGGTAAGGATAGAAGCTTGGCAGCATATTGTAAAGAAAGTTGCAAAGGACGGAGGAACCCACTCTGGGTGGGTGAGAAGAGCATGTTTGAATCGCAGAACCAAACAAGACGATCATTAACCATCCTCTCTAGGACCTTACAAAGACAACTAGTCAAAGCAATGGGACGATAATTTGAAGGAATCTTTGGATCCTTCCCAGGTTTAGAGAAACGGAGGACAGTAGCCTGGTGCCAAGAATCAGGAAAAATGTGCCCCTGTCAGATTTGGTTAAAAATAACCAGGAGAATAGCAAGAGAGGCAGGTGAGAGATGGCGCAACATCTCATAATGAACATCATCAGGTCCGATCAATGTATAACCAGATCGATGAAGAGCAAGTTTGAGTTCCACCAGTGTAAAGGGGCAATTATAATCATAGAGACGATCAGCCCAAAAGGAAAGAGGCAATCGTTATGCCCAAGACTTGATGGCCAAGAAGGCAGGGGAAGAGACAGAAGTGCTAGAAGCACGAGAAAAGCTGTAGCCAAGAGCATTAGCCTTAATGTCATCGAAATTAGAATCAAAACCTCGACAGTTCCACTGTATCAAAGTGGCAATTGTTATGTATGTTTAGGAGAACAGGGTGGGGAACCCTTTGATTTATGACCACACCATTTTTCTTTATTAGAAGGAGGTCGATCGACCTCCATGGATCCTGCCCTTGATCGAGTGGGTAGATCTCTGTCATCAGTGTGAGAATCCAATGACTGAGGACATGATTCGAATGATTGTCCTGCTTTTAGGGGTCAAAGAAGGACCCGCACGAACACCGGAGGCTGGTGCCTGAGGAGGTTGACCCAGGCAGCCACTGGGAGGAATAGTGGGGACAGAGATCGGAATCGATGTAGACCTATCAACTCTATTAACCATGGAGGGCATATGACCTCTCATGTGGCATAAAAAAAGACTCAGATGGAGGCACGGAAAGGTCAGTCTGCACTCCCACTGTAGCAGTGGAGCGTAGTGCAGTGGCATATGTCCATGATGGAGTAGGGAACAATAGCTTCCGAGCCTCTGGAATAGGAAATGTTGTGAACAGTTTTCAAATGCTGTACCTCTTTCTCCTCCACACACTTAGGGCAAGACCTAAAATAGGAGGGGTGGGAACCACTACAATTAACACAGTGCTGGTCCAGGTGATGAAAATGTCAAAATAAGAACTAAGTTCGGCACCATAATACCATCCTGACGAGTGGAGATCCGTCAAACAGCTGAAACTCCTTGGCTGGAGAGACCAGCAAGGGTCTCTGACTCGGGGATAGACTTCAAGTCCCTCTCAACAATAACTCCTCGTGATGAATTCAAGGAAGCATAGGGAGTAACCTCAATGGGTATATCCCCAATGACCCTTGAATTCAAGGGAGTTCACTGTGCTTAGCTCTGGAAGTTTCGACCAAGATGTCTCCAGAACGGAGTTTCTTAACTGACTTTGGAGAGCCAGCAAGCCCCTCTAAACCCTTCTGAATAAAAAAGGGAGACATCTGCCTAAAGATTTATCAGATAGTGAATGTAAAATCAGAAAGCGAGGTACAGGGCCACCTTGTGGTGGAGACTGCTGTGCAGAGTCTTCTAGGCGTGGTCATTTACCAATAAGCAGATTTTTTACTATTTTTTTCATTTGGATTGGGGGGGATCCATTATTAAGAAAAAGGATTCAGTGCCCACTGACCCCACCCGCCATGGAACGCACTACAATGCCAATCAAGGACACTGCAGCAACGTCAGGGTTTTGTGAGCACTATACCCAAACACCAACATCAG